TTTCTGGAGAAACCAAAAACAGTATTATAAGTTAACAGGAAAAATGTTAACTTATCAAAAATTTAGTAACAAGAACATAAACATTGGTTGCCATGAAAGACAGAACCGCATTACACTATGTAACTTAAAATATGGGCAATACATCTGCAATCGTAGAAGTGGTTGGGCTTATTCGATTGCATCCAAAATAATGATCAGTTTCATTTTTTCCAGACTTACTCTTTTAACCTATTATATTGATGATCTTCAGGAATACATTTCATTTCCTACTAAAACACAGAGACCAAACACACTTTCACTTCTAAGGTTTTTTTTTTTTTTTTAAAGCTCTATAGTGTTTGATAAATTTTTCTGGACTTTTCTGGTTGGACAGCAGTTGCAGAAGGGCTCCAAGGCCCTACCTTTAACAATCCTACAACCGGCCCTGATTTCTCTCACGCTGGTGAGTGAATGCAAAACAGGCAGACAACACTAAAAATCAGGTGTTCAGCAAGGTAATCCTCCAAATTCATTCATGGCAAAACCTCACTTTAGTAGGAGGAAGGTGGAGAAAGTCACAAGAAGGCATATTCTAAACCAAAACAGAATTCAAATTTGTGAAGCAAGGCAAATTACTTCCATGGGCACTATTTTGGTTGTCTCAAGGAGAAACTCCTATGTTATAGTTATGGTGCTCAGCTAAGGTGTGTAACTTGGGATTGGGTTGCTATTTTCTGTGACCTCTGTATGGTGTAGTCAATTTATGTGATTTATTACAGCCTTGTTTTCAAGATAAAAAATGACAACCATGCAGTGACACTCAAATGCTGAGTGTGAAAAATGTAAAAATAACATGCCTATGAAAACAAACACCAATTGCAGGCTATTTTCTTTTTCTGTTTAGTAGGGAGTTTGATCAAAATTTAAAATAGGTTAAACTAAATCTATGCTTTTTGCTTTATACATGAAACAAGCTGGGACCCACTGCCAAACGCCTGCAGTGACAACTGGGGGAAGCTCATGGATAGAGTGGGTTTGAACTCAGGCTCAAGAGTGATTTCTTGGCAGTTGACCTCTCAAGGTAGCAGATTTCAATGCTCTGCACAAACTCACTTGGTCCAGAATCTCATCAGACTCAATATTCTGCATTAGCAGAATATTAAAAGATCTCAAAGTATGTGTTACAACTGCTGTCTCAAGAAATAACCCCATCAGACAGTTTACTTATAAGAGGAACATATTTTTATCCCCTTATCCCTAAGTCTTCATTTCAAATTGGTTCATTTCCTTGTGTACAGAGGAAATATAGGACCCCAGCAAAATAGGGTTCTGTGTAAGGGAGTAGAAAAGCTAAGGCAGGAAGAGCCCGAGGACAGCCTTCCATACCACGCCTCTCCTGAGAGCCCTATACCCTTCACACCCTTCACCTAACAAAACAGGGAAGAGGTTCTCTACAAAGAAGGTCAAATGGGGCTTCACTCAGATGTAGGAAAATGAAATAACATGTAATACTAATATTGTCAATTTTAGTCCCCAAGCAAAAGGAAGGAAAAAAGTAGTAAGGAGATAGGGTACAGATTTTGTGCTCTGGGACACTGGCTGATCATGACACACCTTCTACTCACTATCCACTTCAACCACTTTTCCACCAGAACTACCTGTTCCAAGCATTAGGGCAGAAGGTAAGAGTTCTAAGGCAGGCACTGGCTAAGGCTAAAGCTGTAGGTCACCTCAGATATGAATGATGTAACTGATGCCCATAAAGGGCTGGGCATTAAGCCTTGACACCTGCATGTGACATACAGAGCATGTGGTTAATTACAAAAGACGTGACACACATCAGATTTGGAGGGTGAGCTGCAGCACAGACAGGCCTTCACTCAGTTGCTGGGACCCTATTGCACTGTTCTAGGTACTTGGGATAACAAGGGTCCACAAAGACCCCTGCCCTCGTGGAGTTCATGACCCAACAGAAGGACTAGATAATAAACAGTAAATGCTGTTCAGTTATACAGTAGCTTGGTTAGTAAATGCTTTGCAAAAGCAGAGAAGCAGGTTGCAGCAAGAAACATGGTGAACAGAGACAGCTTCTGTAACAAAGACCTGAGCACAGAGGTGAGAGTGAGTCATTTAAGTGGACATTTGGGGAAGAAAGAGCCACCAATCAGAGGGGACAAAACAGCCATGAGGTCAGTCTCTTGTTTATTGAATGAAATGAAGCCCACCCCCTCCCCCAAATCCAAGATTAATCAACAAACTGCAAAAAAATATTGGTAGGAGACATTTTTTCTGAGAGGAGCCATTTATCAGATGTTCAATAAGGTTTTGACCACCTTCCCACCCCCAAAGTTAAACTTCACAGCTTTACTTCCAGGAACATGAATTATAAAAGTAAAGTAGAAAAGTGGATTTTATTATAGAGGGAGGAACCCCCTCAATAGAGTCTACTTTAGGCTAATGCTTAATAACAACTTTCTTTTAAAAATAAGGTAGCCAATGACATGCATTTGGTACTTCATGGAGGCTGAGGTGGGAGTACTGCTCAACAGGATCTTGATACCTATCAGCCTGGGGAACACAGCAAGACCAATAACCAGAGACTCACGACTAGCATACAGTCTGGTCTAACCCCTGTCTACCCATTAACAGAGCACACCAGTGGTCCGCAAGAGAAAGGCACAAATGCATGTTTTTTAGACCTTGGGGGTTAATGTAAATGAAATGACAGCCAGACTTGGAAAACAGGCTGAGCCAGGTTGGGGGAGTAAAAAGACAAAAAGAGGGAGGGAGGGAGGAAGTGAGAGTGAGAGAGAGAGAGAGAGAGAGAGAGAAATGAACTAAAGAATTTAATTACAGTAAGAAGAGAAAATAATTATCCTTTCTTGCCATGACACAATTTTTTACTGCAAAAGCTTTTCAAATAAATGTGCAGTAAGGTAAAAGAAACCCAAGGCCTTCCTGGTTCCAACACTTAAAATTTGTCCTTACAACTACTATCTAATCAATTTAACATGCAACTTGTGGGAACTTCATAGAAGTCGTATCTAAATGGAGATATGAGACTATGCTTCCAGAAAACCTAATGTGCAGTATAATGCTCTCCATGTAATCCCTCTACACTGCCTTTCCAACCTTTCAGTTATTCCTTATTTCTCTAATACTTTCATGTACATTACCATGGGTTTCTTTCTTAGATTCTGCTACATATTTTTTCATTTTGCTCTATCTTTCCACGTATTAAAAAGAAAAAAAAAACTGTTGTCACATTACATAAGAAAGCATTATAAAATAGTTCTTCACCTAATAAGAGGAAACCATTTTTCCTACAAAGTCTTACTCTTCTGAGTATTATAACCAAATAATCTTATATCCAATAGCAGTTATCAAATTAATTTTGTTTGGCAACTATTTTTACAAAATCTTTTTGTCACTAACCCTGACAAGGTACCCTTATAGGACCTTATAAATCATCTTCTCTAACTCAAATGACATTTTTCAGATTCTGCAACCCTTTGTACATTGCAGCAAATTAAGCCTTTTTTTTCTTTTTGAATACGTCATTTTTTTTTCTTTTTGAATAAGCTTAAGGAAATGTTTCTCAATTTAAAAAAAATAAAAAAGATAAATTAAAAACATGTCATGTGGTGAAGAAAAGCAATTATGTTTTTATTTTCAATCTGCTAAGTGAAGCCGTGCAAGAAATGTAATAGTTTACAAAATTACTTATGTAGGTGCACATTCAAGGCTTTTTCGTTTACCTATAAAAAATGAGCTTTTGCTTTTTAACTATATAATAAAAGATATTACTTGAGTATTATTATATTATCATTTATAAAGCAACTTTTGGGTCCAACAAGAGAGAAAAGATCTTTCCTTCAGATATATCCTTAGAAAATTCCTTGACTTTCACATGATGCTTTCAATCCTATCACCCAATGCTAAAAGCAGCTCTTTCCCTTATATTCTGCTTCTTTATTCTTATTATATCATTCACGTGTAGCAGAATAAGCCAATACTAAAGAAAGCACACCATAGCACTGTGAGAATTCCTTCCAGAAGCTGTGATGCGATAATCAGGTCTACTCAATATGTAACCACTGCTAGTTCATTTCACCTGCTTTAAATGTACCTTCCAATTCTTCCCAAGTCTCTGAGGAGGGTTGAGAAGGGGGGAAGACTACAAAAGAAAAGATTTATCCTTGAGATCTACTAGTGAGAAAACCAGTATCTGACAAAGCTGTTACCAGCAAAACTGAGCAGAAGGTTTGTCTCAGTGAGAAACAAGCAGCTTCTTAAACTGCTTAACTTAACAAGATCCTTAAACAAGCAGCTGTGCACCAAGCTCAAGTGTGGACCATCTCCAATAAACAGCAAGTGGGTTTTAAATGGAGGTGGTTTCCATTTAAGAAAAGGATCCAGTGAGCTTTATTTTCCTTTCATGAGGGCCAAGCAGACTCTAGGCATTAATGCTGCAATGACACTGCTCACTAAGGAGGAGAAACTCTCTTACTTTTATACTAACTCCAAGATTGGGTTTTAGCTTAAGCCAGTGCTTCTGGAGAGGAAACCAAGAGGAAGATACCACATTAGAAAAACAATGGTTTCTTCTCTTGTGGTCATTTTAGTACTCACTATATTTTTCCATGCAGGTCATATTAACATTAAATATGCTTATGTTAGATTCTACTTTCCCAAGTGATTACTTAACTTTAGAATACCAGTTGCAGGAGTAAGAATACTATAGTTGTTTCATTGACAACTATAATAATAGTATGTAAAAATATTCACTAAACAGGTTCTCAGATACCATCTTCCTACTTTTATAACAACTTCCAATCATACAAAACCAAACTTTTAACCAGGTAATGATTGACAAGCTTTTTTGCACAATATTACCAATGCAGATAAAGTTGCCAAGATGCAACTTTTTGCCCAGAGCATAACAGCCCAGCCCAAACCTAAGACTTTACCAAAAAAAAAAAAAAAAAAAAGTCACTGAATAATCATTCATCAATGCTGACCTTGTTGCTCAGTGTCTGCTTCAGTTTTCGAAGAACCTGGTGCAACAGGAAGGGGTCGAGGTGGCCGGGGCTTTGGAGTGGGAGGTGAGATTTTTTTCCTTCCAATATATTCAACATAAGTTCCTGGGAAGTCCCCCCTCTCCCCAGTGGTTTCATTATAGCCATTTAACCAACCAATTTCTTCAGGCCGGGCTTCCTGTCCATCACTGAATCCAAGGGCTACCAAGGACCCTTTATTCACAGTCAGTATGTCACCTAGGTGCAGGTCAATGTCTTCTTCTCTCTCCTTCTTATAGTCATACAGGGCTCTGTACTGGTACCCCTCGGCACTCATGTTTGCAGTCTGTTACCATGCAACAGATGAGGCTGGTTGTATACTGTAGTCTAATTTCAGGTTTTGATAGAAAGAGAATTCAGAGAGTGTGTTAAAATTCCTAATAGGTGTCCAGTAGAGGACAAAGGACCACTCTTCAAAGATTTAAGAGATGGCCATTCAGCTGTCCATCTGTCCTCCATCAATGGTGTGACTGAAGACACAGTTCAACTTCCTCAGCACCACAGTCCTTCCTGGTGTACTTTTCAGTAACTTGTCAACACACTGACTCCAGGCTGACTCTCACGGCGAGGCCCAATCCTCTCTGACACTCTTGTCACACTGTCCATCTGTCATCTGATTTCACCACCACACTCCACACGCAGCTTCACCTAGCAAAGGAAAAATAAGACTTGTGAATGATCACATGTCACCATCTGAATGAATTTAATTTCTACTTCCATTCAACAAATACTTATTCAGTATGGCAGACATACACAGGCCAGTGTGCTACTGCTTGACACCGTATACACAACAAAGATTAGTAAGACAGTCCCTGCCTTCTAAGAACACTGGGTGGGGACAAGAGGAGGCATGTTGGTATATGGCAATGTCCCAGAGATAAGACTGGTACACAAGGAACCAAAACATTAGGTAAATGCTCTAACAGAGGTAGCCACTAAATGCCATGAGGTTCAAGTGAGGGAGAGACCACATCTAATTGCAGAACTCTATACACAGAAACCGAATGTGTGACATGATTGTAAGTACAGAAGTGACTAAGCAAATGTTACATTTGGGGAAGAGCTGGAGCAAGCCATCCAATCCATCTGAAGCCAAAGAGGGTGAATTCCACTTAGACAGGTAGAGGGCGTCTGACATTGTGTAAGCCCATGTTGAGTCTGTAAGTAATGCAGTCCACAGCAAGGTGCACTGAACGGACATGGAGACAAGGGAGCCATCAAGAGGAAAGCTGCACTTGAGGGATCCCAATCTAATATAACCATGTATACGTATACTATAGGAGGAACTGGCATGGGGACCAATTGCTAAAGTTTAAGGAATCCCACTGAGGAGGGAAAGTCAAGGTTTAGAGACAATGCAATGTCCCATAAACAAGGTTAATGGAATCAGGTAAGAAGAGGTAATCCCTACAGCTAAGCTGTTTAGGAGCTTCCCGCACAGGGGAAACTGAGTCCAGCTAACATGTTTGAGGCTCTGATCACTGTACAGTCGTCCTTGACTTTTTGAGAACGCAGATTCCAGGCCAGTAGGAAGGATAGCAACTAGATTTTAAGGAGGTAAGAAATCAGAGAAGTAGCAATAGCTGCTGACTAGCACTCTAAAGATGGTTTAGTGGAGGAGAAAATGGGCATTTTTTTGGTTTGTTTGCTATTTTGAAGTATAAAGGAGGCAGAGTAACTAGTAAGTCAAAAACCTGTAAGGTAGAGTCACAGAAGTTGGAGTGGATGGCAGACAGGACAGCACACTCACACACACTTAGCACTGCATTCACTGCTCACTGTTGTCTTTATTATAAAGAGTAATAAAAGCAACCTAAAGGCTCCAGATCCACTGGCTGCACAACAAAGCAATGAAAACAGCCACACAATTTCAGGGTTCAGTAACAAAGAAGAGCTTTTATAAGTTTTGAAGAGTGAAACACTTTAGAAGTTTAATATTATAGGCACTCTTCAATGTAGGCATCTTAAGAAGCAAATCTAATCATAGATTGTTATTTGGCATTCAGAAGTGTGAAGTATTCAACTTTACATGGCTAAAGCCTCTTAGCTGTAATACAATAACACTCTTAGGAGAGTTGCATATTAAAGGGAACAAAAACAAACACTGGAAATTTTTGTGTAGCAAGAATATTAATTTTGGATAGTACTCTACTTGCATTTCAGTCATCAGAGAAAAAAATCCATGCAACCAGCAGAGCCTATGGAAAAAAAAAAAAAAGCTATATTAAGTTTGAAGAAAGCCTCTTCTTTTGAAAGATCCAGAGTCAAATTAAATATTCATTGCACAAATTCACACAAAAATGTAGAACTAGCAAATCTCATTTTTAGTACTAATGTACTCTGTACAAAGGAGACACAGAAGTCTAAAGAACATGAAAATTTACATATCCCTAAATGCTTGGAAACCAGGCAATACGCCTAAGAATAATTTAATTCCTTTAAATCTGCTTTGAAATTTTTTGTTAGTTTTTCTTGGCAATATATGTCTTTTTTTGGTGGGGAGGAAGGCTTAGGCTGGATAGATTTTTTTTATACCAGCTGCTGCTTAGCACTTCCTCAATTTCAACCACCCAGTGGACCTGTTTGGTGGGATTCTTAACAGAAATTAAATGATCCCCATCCTCCAGCACCCGGAAACATCTAGCAAGCACACCATGTAGCTGTGACACTGAGGTCAGAAAAAGTTCCAGGTCTTTTAAGATTTTATAAACCTGAGAAATGCCTGCATCTGCCTGAGGCTGAACCTGTGCAAAGGGCAGAACTTGAGGAGTGATGACTGCAGAGGCTCAACTCTATAGAAGCACAGCTCACCATACACACACTTTTTTTTTTTTTACATACTTTCTGTGTTTTTAAAAAAACAAAACCCTATGCAGAACCCTGGGTCCTAGTCTAGTAAAGGAACCCAGATCTTCTATGATTTAGGGCTTGCAGGTAGAGCACACCATTTCGGTCTTCTGAGATGTCACAGCCACGGGCAAGAAGAATGATGCAAATAAGACAGGTTAAACAGCTAAGGTCAGCCATGATTTATTGTCAGTTAAGAGTTTGAGAGCAATATCGTAAAAGAAGAGAGAGGACAGACAAGTCATTTATTTAGGTGGGGTTTTGATTACATGGTGGTGAAGTTCAGAGAGACCTTTACTGGGCAGAGGAGGCAGGTACCTCTACCTGACTGCACCCTGGACACTTTCTCCTGACTGCCATTCCCATTGGAGTGAGTCATAATGGCATGATCTTCATCTGTTAATACTTACTGGGAATTATGTGTACATTAACCCATTTGATCCTCAAGATAACCATATGAGGTAGATACTATCAATATTCTTACTTTACATATGAAGAAACTGAGGAAAGAAAGTTTAGTATCTTGGCCAGGACTACACTCCAGCATTAAGAGGTGAAACCTAAATTCAGATCCAGGCAGCCTGGCTCCACCAGAACCTACTCCCCAATTCAACTTGCATGGATGCCCAGAGTCAGCGCAGGTATGTCAGTGGTGTCAACAATGCAGAGGCCTGCCTGTCTACGCTGGTACCTCAGAGTAACCTTGAAGGCTCTCAAAGGAGCCTTGTTGATAGTGGCTGGCTCCCTCACATACCTGCACAAAAAGAAGCCATTATAACTCGGCAGCAGTCCCATCAAGTCCAAGACACAGCATCTCAGCCATGCAAATTTTCTTCCAGAGACTTCATTAAAATGCATCCTAGCCTAAGAAGTCCATAAACCAGTGAATAAAAGAATACTGGGCACACCATTTCTGGAAGGCTGCCCACTTCTGGAATCCTGCCCATTTCTGTTCTACGAGCCTAACTTCTGCCACCACCTGTATCCCTTTTGGCATCCCTGCCCTCTGTCACTACCCTGGGTCCCTCACTGCACAATTTTTAACAACTCATCTCCCTAGGGGAATATGTGAAGCATCATCCAGAATCATGAGGACTGTCAAATCTAGAGGACTGGCCAATTTGTTTCCCTTCCCAAACTTTTCCCCCAGGACTGCAGAAAATTTAGCAGCCTGAGGCATCTGGCAGTATCTGTATCATACTCCAGAAATCAATTTGGGGCCCAAACTACCTAAATCAACAGAATACACCTTTCCCAAATTCACCAGATTATGCCTCTAATCTCTTTGTTATGTACACCTGCCCACTAAATCATTTCCACCCAGACCCAACATAATTATTCAGACGGTAAAGGTTTTTCTGTGAATAATATTCATCATTTACAACTTGTTACTTTAAATAACCGGGGCCGTTTTATGATATAAGCTCTGAGCTAAATGCATGCATAAGCTACTGTAACAAAACATTTAAAGGAATCCTATGAATAAGTAACAAATTAACTTATTTTATATAACATAATATGCAACCATCCAAAACTTCCTTAAAGGGAATCATTTTGCTCCAGTCTTTTAATCCTTTTATTGACTGCCTACAATCTTATTAGTTGGAAGTACACTTATTTTCTCTGTTAATATACTGTGCAAGCCTCATCCTGTTTCTCAAAATACAGTTGATTCTGATGCTTGACAAATATGAATTTACGACTGCTTAAAATATGCTTGCCTAAAATTAAATTTCCAGTTTAATCCTCTGACCTGTAGGCATAACAAAGAAACAAACAAAATTCCTTGAAAGACCCACTAAATTTGTTGACTTACCATCCCCCTTTTACAAACAGGGATTTGAAAAACTTGATGGAGCGGCAGGAATAAAGGATATTTTTAAATCACATTAAATAACAAGAATACATCCTAGTCATAGGATTCCATTCTGTGATGAAATTAACAGCCTAACACTGGGTGGCAGCACAAAATGGGTCTTCAATCAAGGCAAGGTTCCTGGGCTGGCAGTTGATAATATCCTATATTACCTCTCAATGTGCTAAGACAAACACCCCCACCTCAATTTGTACAGCCTTTAAAAAAAAATCATTTCTTGAATATCGTTTGACCTTTCAAATTTCTGAAACTCATCAAATCAAACTGAACCATGTTAAAATATCCTAGTACATATAATGAGTTACTGTACCTTCAATTTAAAATTCAGGGTGAATTTTATGGTATATGAATTTCACCTCAATGAAAGTGATGATGAAAATGATGGACTTAAACTTAAATCCAAAGTTACAGGCATCAATATCTCAATTCACTTCCAAACCAACCAGCTAACTAGAGTGTGCTGGCTGCTGTCACTCTCCAGGCTGGGCAGTGATGTGGGCAAGCAGGGTGTAGAGGCTGCAGTTCTTGCTGACATGCCCTTTAGGGGCAGAGAGCACACACCCAGGTAACACACTAAGACAGGGCTCTTTACAAAACAGGAACAGGGGAGGGTACCCCTGAGCACTGCAGGAATGGCAGAGGAGTGACTCCAGCCTGCTGAAGGCAGTCCTTAGGCACTTGGTGGTCATCACAGGGCGGAGGGGAGAAAGAGCAATAAACTTTCTAGACTGCAAGAAGAGGCCATCAGTCTGACTGGTCTGAGGTGACCATGGAAGGCAAGGACTGGAGAGGAAGGCCCAAAGTCCCTCTTGTGAAAAAAACAATGCTACTCCTTAAAATTCGTAGCAAGAAGGATGAAGGCTAAACTTCAGAAGAGAGGCAGCTGCTCCATCAGTGCCTAGATATGTAACCTTGAGCAAGTCACTTAAACCTCTTTGCGTCATAATTTTATCACCTGTGAGAAAGATGTAATAAGCAGACTATACCTCACACAGTCATATGAGATGGAAGGCAATTAACAAAGCATGCTTGACAGTAAGAGCTTAATGTAGTTAACACCAGCTCAGTGCTTACTGTGTGCCAGGCAGAGTTCTTAGTGCTTTACGTCAATCAACTCATTTGATCCTTACAGCTACCCAAAATACAATAAGCACCCCCATTTTGCAGATGAGAAAATGAAGTTAAATAACTTGCCTGAAATTACACAGTAAACTGCAGTTATGGCGTTATCATTGCTTCTATTAGTAATAATAGTACTACCAGCAATAGTTGCATTAAATGTCACTTACTGTCATTTACACAATTCAATTTAAAAACAGAAACAGCTATCTGCCAGGAATTGTCTTGCACTGCCTCTAACTGCATCAAGCAGTTCTAAATGAATCCTGAAGCTAGCTAAAATAAAACACTGCTCTAAATAGATAGACAGGCAGATAGATAAAGCCTGCATGTGGACTTTGCCCAACCAGTTCTCACCTACCTGAGGTTGAGCATGGCTCTCTGAAGGTCAAGGCTAAGGAGACCCGGGGAGGGGCTGTGTGTGTGTGTGTGTGTGTGTCTAGTTAAGGGACACTACTACTCTTCAACAGGATTTGGTGGCTACTCCCTGGGCTGTCCTCAAAAAAAACAAAAAATGAGCATAGTAATACAGTTTCCCAGGGAATGAAGGCAGCTATGCCCTATGGTATAGCTCCAATACTTGGGACAATGTATTTAGAGCATTTTGGGAAGGAGGCAAGGTGCAGCCAAGCGCCAGGCCCCTAGGCTTTACCAACTCACTACACTCACTGGTGCCACCTCCTCACACTTTGGCCAGGCTCAGGTGACTTCAATACTCTCTGGGGTGATCATTAACCTGAAAACTATTTTGACTACAGGTATCTGTGGGTACGCATTTCATTTACTTTAAGGAAAACAATGCTGGCAGAACAAAATCTCCAAAGATGTTTTTATAGTAGAGTCCCTTTGTTTTTTCCAGTAAAACCTGTACTACATTCATTCTACACTTTGACCAAAAAAAAAAACTAACAGAAGCCAAGCAGACAGGTTTTATAAGTAATTACATAGTCTATTTTTCAGTTCATTTGGCTTAGTGTACATGAAATGGCCTTTAATTGCCACTCTCTTAGGTAAGTAACTTCAATAAGAGCATTGGCAGAAACATGGCAAGTAATCAAGTTAGGGTGTAGATAGACACGGCTGGAAAAAATGCAATAAATAATATGAATACTTTCAAAATTGATTACAACCTACAACTTTAATAAAGACCGTGATATAATTTATATGATGCCTTCTAAAACAAAAGCTAAATCAATGATCTCTTGTACTGACAAGTAACTTTCTCATCTTCCACAGCTTCACTAAGATACTTCATTTTTTTGCCTTACTGGCAAAGCCCAGCCAAGGGGGCACCGGGGTTAGCCTGCCTAAAACATTATTAAAGTATCGATACTTCTGTACTTCTTATTCCTTCTGCACTACGGATGTCTCAGACATGAGAATTAAAAGTAAAAACTCAATGCAGACATTATCTCTGCTTGCTAGATTCTACTTGCCTATAAAGTCAATTTTTTACAGTGGGCTCTGGACTTGTTCACCATCTCTTTATTCAATAAAACACATTTTGCAAATTACAAAATGCAAACAGTAAAAGCTGAACTAGAATTGTTTGTTTAAATGACCGTGATGACAATCTTTCAAAGCGGATGGCTTTTTACAACACTGAACTACCTAGGGAGAAAAAAGGAAATTTCAAATAACATACCAACTTAAATATTACATATAGCATTCATGGAAAATTTTAGTTATTAAATGAATGGCCAACACTTTGAACAATACAAAGTTACCCCTTCAAAGATCAGCTTAGGCGTAATTGACAATTTTAGAAGACAAATGCTTACCACTATTACCACTGTCAAAAACAAAATTATATTATCAATACCTGTACCACTTGTTTCCCCAAAACAACTTCACACTTCAAGTGCATTAAGCTCAAGAAATAACAAAAGAAAACAATGTATTTAATCAAAGGGCAGTGAAATGCCTTTTTACATTGTCTATACAGCTTTACAGATATGAAAGGACACAGTGCTATCATCATTAAAAAAAAAAAAGATAAAACAGCAGATAACACTGTGTACACTGCAGAGTTCTGTTAAGCAACTGAGAACAGGTCCCAAATCAAGATGAAAGTTAAAAGCAAGCGTAGTAACTGTTGGAAAGCCAGTATCAGACAACTAACTTTCTTGCAATCATAAAAAGGTTCCTATGGACAGCAGTATGGCCCTCTACTACCTCTACCTGCACCAGGTATGGAAAAGTGAAGACCAGCAGTAACACACTACCCAGCACTTCAACAAAGTAGGAAGCCTCCCCCACTACTGGCCATTCCAATTTAAACCTTGACTCTGAACCACCAAACTTTACAGGAAAAAAAAAAAAAAAAGAAAAGAAAAATCACATTTTTTCCTTCAAACACTTCTCTCCCAAAGTTTAAGCAACTTTCGTAGCTAAAAGAGAAAGAAAAAAAAATGCTTGCTTTTAAGTGGCTCATTTCAAGAAACAGTGAAATTGATCAACAAGGTATAGCTTGTAGGGTGCTTTTTTCCTTTTTCAATGATAAAAAATGCTTTGTGGTCCTCTCCTGTGCAGAAGTCACCAAATTCCTAATTATTTATACTTTGAAGATCTATTATTCTGATAGCCTGTGTCAGAAATGAACCTATCTGCCTATGCCAATCTTTCCTAGCTAATACCTAACCAACTTTAAGGTTGCCAAAACCTACCACAAGCTAATTAAATATTAAAATGTACTTCTACAGAAAGCCTAGGCCAGTAAGCTTTGTGAAAATCCCGCCTAACACCTAAAACTTGAAACTCATCACACTGAAATGACAATCTCTTGCTGCATTCAAAACCCGGAACTGCTTTATCCATTCCTATCTCGCAGTGTCTAACAAAGAGGAAAAGAACAGGGTGGGGGGGGGCTCCTAAAGTCATGAAACCCCCAAATACAGAGTGAACTCACACCAGGACACCAACGGCGCCCCGTAGCTCCGCCAGGAATTAACAGTGGAAGTGAGACCTTTCCGGTATTAGCAGCACCGCGAAGCAGAATTCCCCCCGAATCCAGTGCCTATACACTCTGCATTCAACATGTACCAGCCATTCCGCTCACACCCTTGCACTATTATGCTCCAATTCTGATTACCAAGATACATTTGTGTACACGGGTGCCTAGCCAGAGCTCTTCTTGTTCTCTTTGTCTCGTGATCTGCGGGGCAGCTTCTGCCCTTGGGAAGGAAGTGAGTGTTAAGAGCTGTGGCTTCCAGACAATCCCCCCCTATATTTCAGCTCCGGTTTGCACGCTCGCTACCTCTGCCCGGCCGGCTCCATATTGCTGGGCAGGTCCTCCAGTTTCACCCCGCGATACAAAAGCTGGATTTCCGGGCGGTGCTGAGACCCCACTAAATATGCCTCCAGCAACCCGTGCAAGCCTGGCCGGCACCAGACGCCGAGTTAGGGCCCCAGCGACCAACCGCCCCAAGGCGCACTTCCCCCACCCCGGAAGAGGAGGGAGGCAAACTTCGGAGGGCGGGGGCTGGGGGCGAGCTCCCGGGACCCTCGCCGCCCCGCCCCCGGGAGAAAGGCTGGGGCAGCGACCCTGGCTGCAGCTGGAGGGCCGCGGGGGACCGGAGCGCTCCTTTCCGCTAACGCAAAGGCAGCGGTCAAGGCGCTCCCCTCCGGCGAAGGGCCCCAGGAAACTGCAGCAAGGCTACAGGGGGACCCTCGGAAGCGTGCGGTGACGGAGGAGGAGGGGAGCCCGAGATCGCTGGCAACTCCGGGAGCGAACGCGCCCAGCGGCGTGCAGAGCCAGCTCGAAGGAGAACCGGGGAACCGGGAGCCTGGCCGTGACCGCGAGCACGCAGGGCTCTGGCTACGAGCCGGGGAATGCTGCCTGGCGACCGGGGAGATGCTGGCGGTTTGGGGAACCCGCCACCAGCCCGCTTCTCCCCGGCTCGACTCTGCAGAAGGAGAAGCGGCTGCTGGTGACAGGAAGAGAGCGGCGGCAGCAGCGCACGCATGCACCGCCTCCCCCTCCCGAGCACACACACCCGGACCCGCCGCCGCCGCCGCCTACCTCCCCCGCCGGCCGGCTTCCTTCCTTTGCCCAGCCGGTGCTGCAGCGGCCTCCTGCGCTCACGGTTCCCACGTGCCTCCGATCCAGCTTCGACCCGCGGGCCGTTCGCAATCCCACCTCCACGTCTCCTAGCCGCTCGTCAGCCGCCCTCACCGAGGCTGCTGCTTCCTCCAACTCCGCTCCAGCTGCTCGCTACTCCTCTCCGTGCGCCCGCAGCTCCAGCGCGGACCCCGCCTCCAGCTCCTCCCCCGGTCCCGCCCCGGCTCCCCGCCCCCCGAGCCCGCACCAATCAGCCCCTGCGACCCCGCCCCTCTCCGCCCCTCTCCGCCCCTGGCGCGTCCTCCGTCTCTGCCAGTCGTCGCGCCGGCCTCTGCGCCCCGCGGCCGCCGGGGTGGGGGAGTGGAGCTCCGGCCCCGCCGACCTTTCCTGAAACCGCCCTCGCCTTCCGCCCCCAGCCGCGGGGATGCCCTGGGCGGCAGGATGGCGCGCTGCCTCCGCTGCGGAGCGCTCTAGCTCTGCGCGCCCGGGGCTGGCCCACTGCTGGGCGTCTCCCGGACCAAAGGCGGAGGAACGCGGGTAGGGCGAGGCTAAGTTCAGACCTCCCTGGAGGTTGGCTGTGTCCCTGAGTCGAGTGTCTTGCTACCAACTCCTGCCTCTTTCGAACCCCCAAGCCTCAGCCCAGTGGCGGGGGTGGGGAGGACGCGGGAGCTTACCAAAGCGGGGAGGCCCTGCAGTTCCTGGCCTCGCCTAAACAGCCTCCCCAGGGCCCGGAAAAACTAAGCCACCCGGCGGGTAGCTCCAGGGCGAAGGAGGGGTGAGAAGGTGACCCGGAGGGGCGAGTGCCCGCAGCACTTTGGGAGCCTGGCGGAACCTCAAGAAGGAAAGAGTTTTATGAGGAGGGCATATGCTGGCTGATCCCTAGCAAATGTAGGTCGGTCGCCAAGGCAAACCACCAGCCTCTGGATGCTGCTCAGATGAATTACATTGTTTCTTAACTGTGTTAGTTGTAAAATACAGATCCTTCAAGTAATAATCATTACTTCAGTTGCTCAAGAAAGAAGTTGATGTTGGTTCAAAACTTCTAATGATAAGATGGAATGCCAGCACCCTGTTTTGCTTGTTCCTATTAAGGAACAAGTTTCTTGAAAACTTCTCGCAGAATGCCATTTTTTTTTTTTTTTTGTGCAATGTAAAGACCTGCACCAGCCCACCCTGCTTGTCCTAACACCCCTTTTACAGCCCCTCCCCAATGTTCTTGCAAGAGTATTACTTTTTCTTTTAACCAAGCACTTAGATTTTGTTCAGCTTCGAATTTGGTGGTTTATTTCCGTGGGCGTTGGAAATAAAGGGATAAACGTTGAGATTCGGTGTCTAGCCTATGAAAATGCAATCACTTTTAAAGGTAACACATTCTAATGGAAAAGTCAGCCCTACTTTAACCTACTCAGGTTCTGGCGTCTCTGTTATTCCAACACGTCTCTTGAAGCCCAGATACAAAAGCAGCCAGCTACCTGCATCATGTTTAAGAACCCACTTAACCTGAAAATAAATACGAAATTGACCAAGGTACATTCTTGGCATCTACTATGTGAAATGAAGAACCTATTGGACTTTGCAGATGGAAAGATGTATCTCACCAGTGGTCCAGAAACGGGAAGCTGCTGGGACTGTTCACAAAATTATGTTTAGGTTCAACTCTGAAGAAACTCTGAAAATGGAAACCTTTTGTACACTTCAAGTTCCTGGAAAGAGACTTATTGCACTGTTGCCGTGGGATTCTGTTCACCTTCAAACCTAAATGAGCATAAAATCCCTAATTGCACTTCCTCTTTCAATCTTCAGCAATTTATTTCCAACATATGTGTATTTTCTTTAATTTTTTTCCATCATATATGGACTTAAGTCCAAAATGTGTCCCATGGACAAAAATACGACTGTTTTTCCACATGTATGTACAGAATAATTTGTCTTGGTTTCATTCAGAATAAGCGGATACATTCCCCCATATCATTAGTATTAGGATTTTCATTTTCCATTGATTTCTGTGAAATAAAAGCAAAAGGCAACAAAGCAGCAATATTCAAACTTGTTTTTAAAATAAACTTTTTATTTAATAAAATCTTATCTGGAATTTCCATATATAACTTATAAGGCAAGGCCAAGGGCCTGCTTTACCAGCTTCTTTCCTTCTCTCTCTTTTAGATCCTTGACCCAGCATCATAGCTTTTTGGAGAATTCATTGGAAATACAGGTTCTCTGTCCTCACTGAATCAGAAATACTGGGGTGGTATACAGCAATCTGGTTTTTTGGTTTTGTTTTGCTTTATTTTTTTTTATCCACTAGGGTACATTGTACATTTGCTGAAGTTCTTAACAGTATCATATTTGAATTCACCCCCCCACCCCGCATTCTCCTTTATCCTCCCTTACCCCTATTCCTGAACTATTTCAACAGGTCTCACCCTTTTTCTATTTTCATACTTGAGTACATAGTATTTCCACCCTTTCCTTCTATCTCCCTCCATCCCACTGATGTCAAACCCCAGACAGGTCATTCTTGTCTTCCTGTTCTCATTTTTGAAAAAAAGACATTTTTGTTGGATAAGATAGCTATACAGGAATTTCACTGTGGCATTTCCACATGTATATACGTATTGTAACCCAAATTGGTTCATCTTCTCTATTTTTCTCTTTTCTGCCTTAGTCCTCTCTTATGATGATTTCAACACGTTTAAAAATTGTATATTCATTCTTGTATAGAAAGTATATCAACCATATTTACCTTCTTAATTTCCTTCTTTCATCATCCCTCTCCCGCTAATGACCTCCCTTAGTGTGACAGTTGTTCATAATTTGTTTGTATTTGTATTGGGCCTATATTCCACGTGAGAGAAAACATGTGCTCTTTGGCTTTCTGAACCTGGCTAACTTCATTTAAATAATGTTCTACAGTTCCATCCAATTTACCTGAAATGACAAAATTTCAGCCTCCATACTGTTTCAATAGTGTTTGCACTAATTTACTTACTCACCAACACAGTGTATGAGGGTTCCTTTTTTCCCCACATCCACACTAACATTTGTTATTGTTTGTGTTCTCTCATCGGTTAGCCATTCTAACAGGAGTGAGGTAGAATCTTAATGTGGTTTTTGATTTGCATTTCCTTTATGACCAGTGATGTTGAGCATTTCTTCATGTGTTTTTTTTAGCCGTTTAGACTTCTTTCTTTGAAAAAGCTCCTGTTTAATTCACTTGCCCATATTTCCTTGGTCATTGATCTTGGGGAAGTTTAGTTTTTTGAGTTCCCTGTATATTCTGGTTAATATTAATCCCTGTGTCAGATGTATAGCTACAAAGTTTATTCCCATTTGGTGAACAGTCTCTTCAATTTGGTGACCATTTCTTTTGTTGTGAGAAGCTTTGCAATTTCATGTGTCTCATTCTGTCAATTCCTTTCTCTTACGTTGCTGAGCCATTTTCAGTCTCTAACTGAGGAAGTCATTGCCTATGCCTATTAATTCCAGTGCATTCTCCACTCTTTCCTGTAACTATCTTCAGGTTTCAGTCTGATATTAAGGTCCTTAATCCCACTTTGAGTTGATACTTGTACAGGGTGATAAACATGGATCTACTTTCAGTTTTCTGCAGGTGGAATATTTTTAGTTTTTTTGAAAAGCCTCCATACTGTTTCAATAGTGTTTGCACTAATTTACATTCTCCCAACAGTGTATGGAGGGTTCCTTTTTTCCCCACATCCTCACTAACATTTGTTATTGTTTGTGTTCTTCATGGTAGCCATTCTAACAGGAGTGAGGTAGAATCCTTAATGTGGTTTTTGATTGCATTTCCTTTATGACCAGTGATGTTGAGCATTTTTCTTCATGTGTTTTTTTTAGCCGTTTGACTTCTTTCTTTGAAAAAGCTCTGGTTTAATTCACTTGCCCATAATCTTCCTTGGGTCATTGATCTTGGGGAAGTTTAGTTTTTTGAGTTCCCTGTATATTCTGGTTAATATTAATCCTGGTCAGATGTATAAGCTTGACAAAGTTTATTCCATTTGGTGAACAGTCTCTTCAATTGGTGACCATTTCTTTGTGAGAAGCTTTGCAATTTCATGAGTCTCATTTGCCAATCCTTTCTCTTAGTTGCTGAGCCCATTTCAGTTCTACTGAGGAAGTCATTGCCTATGCCTATTATTCCAGTGCATTCTCCACTCTTTCCTGTACTATCTTCAAGGTTTCCAGTCTGATATTAAGGTCCTTAATCCACTTGAGTTGATACTTGTACAGGGTGATAAACATGGATCTACTTTCAGTTTTCTGCAGTGGATATCCAGTTTTCCTAGCAACATATGTTGAATAGACTGGTCTTTTCACCATCGTATGTGTTTTGGTGACTTTATCAAAAATTCAGGAGGCATAAACTTTGTGGATTCATATCTGGGTCTTCTATTCTTTCACTGGTCTTCCTGTCTGTTTTTGTACCAGTACCATGCTGTACTTATTGCTATGGCTCTGTATATTGTTTGAAGTCAGGTATTGTGATAACTGTATATGCCTTGGCTAATGTGTCTTTTGTGCCTCCAAATGAACTTTAGGGTTGATTTTTTAATCTCTGTGATGAATGTCATTGGCATTTTAGTGGGTATTGCATTGACCATGTAGATTGCTTTTGGTAATATGACCAGTTTTACAATATTGATTCTGCCAATCCATGAATATGCAATCTGTGTTTTAATAAGCCTCCCAAGTCATATGATGCATGCTAGGATTGGAGAACCATTGCTCTAGGGCTTCTGGGGTAGATTAGAGCCCACCACAATAAAATGTACATATAAGCATATAAACACAGCAGTTCAATCAGTACTGGCCAAACTGTTATCATTAGGTGACCAAACCACTGAGGAGCTCAAAATGTCATATAGTGTACAGTTTCCAATAGGAATACGTATATAATGCATAGCCATGAAGGTAGTTTAGAAGTCGGACACTGGAAGTGAAGACCCCCCTGATATGAAGAAAGGCTTTGCCAAAGCAAGCTGAGAAAATATCCTTCCCAAGGAAAACCAGTAGGATAGTCTCATTTGCCATCATCATCATACTTCAATAATATGGCTGTTAGAATAAGCTTGCATAGACTTGAAACCTAAGTGTATATTTTAGGGTTCAAATCAAGACCAAATAAATACAAATAT